TTTTAATTTTTTTTTTTATTATAATTATCTCTTCTGGGGTTCTCAGTAAAAAAACCAAGAATGAACAATGACCACTCATTTCTGTTATTTATACAGCAGATCAACGTGAGTAGGCTCTCAAAGAGTCGAGATACAGTGAGAGGGTTTCTGCGAGAGACGACTGAGATAAGTCGCATTTAAACATTGTTATGTTAGAATAAAAGTGTTTTTTATAGCTGCAATGCGGTACAAGAATGCAAAGGTTCAATGTTATTAAGTTGTGTAAAAGAAATCGAGTTTGTTTTGTATAAAGGGAACTGCATACAGCCGTTTATTCCTATAAAAACTGCTCACTGACGCAAAGATAAATTTTTTTTGCAAGTAAATTACCCGGATAAATACATACTGCGCATGCGCCCAGTAGCTAACTTCCGGTTTAGCCCTCCGTTAATATAAAAGCGGGTTAAATAATTTAATCTTGCTAATTTTCTAGACTTTAAAATTGTTATCGGACTGAATTAATCAGATTCTGGTACCGATAGTTTTTTTTTTTCGTTCCTAATTTGCGCATGCGTAGTGCTGCCTATGAGGTTTCTACCGTTAAATTAACGGTCACTCTGTCAACCGTCGGCTCGTTAACGGTTAACGTTAGTATTTAACGTTACACGGCGGCACGCGGTCAAACTGACCGAAACGAGGCTGGGAACTTTATTTGTTTACTCTTTGGAACTACATTTCCCAGTTTCCCGCTGCTGGCTTTGTTTACTCTTTAGAACTACATTTCCCAGTTTCCCGCGGCTGTCCGGTGATACGACGTGTCGTAAAATAAAAATCAGTAAACCACGGCGAAACCGAGATGGACCCCTCCGAAGGCGGCTGACAGCTCGTTGAGTCTTTATCCTCCGTTGTTGTCGGTGATGTTTATGTAACGGTCGGGTCCCGGTGTACGGTAACGGTTGTAAAACATGGAGGCCATGGAAGACGACAGTTTGGAGCTGAAAGACGACCACAACCACAACAACTACCGCGCGAGCAGCAGTGGGAAAGTCCGCGCGGATGCAGCCACGGTCCCGCAGCCCGTCTGTGTGCCGGTGCCGGTACCGGTGCCGGTACCGGGAGGAGAACCGGGGAGTCGACGGGGGAAAGTGTGGTCCGGTGGCTCCGGAGGGTCAAAGTTCATGGACTCGGATTCAGGTAGTGAGAGCAGCGAAGTGAGCGAGACCGACAGCAGCGCGGCTGCACCGACAGCTGCGGAGGGAAAATTCACCCTCGATGCGACTTCTAAGTTCCGTAAGTTCAGTTAAAGCAGAGACACAGCAGGGCCCGGTAC